AATTTCCTGTAAAACTTTTGCAAAAAAATTAATGAAAAAAAGTGACCTTAAAAAAACCAAAAGTATGACCTTAAAATAGACAGGGCCCAAAAATTAAAAACAAAAACCATAAAAAACCCAAAACTAACCTCTTTAAAATAATTAAAAAAAACTTTTAAATCTAAACCCAAATTTTAAATTTGGGAAAAGGGGTTGGTCTTAGGGACAAACTGAAAAAAATTTTTGGAAAAAAACCAAAAAAATCTAAAACAATTTTCAATTTTTTAAAAGAAAAATGAAATTTAAAAAAAACGTTTAAAAAATTAGCATGGAAAAAAACTTGCACAATAAACAAGATTATAAAAACCAATAAAAATTTTTAGCTAAAGGAAAAAAAACAAAAAAAAATTCCCTTTACATAAAAAAGAAAATAGTTTTTTATTTCTTCATTTAACTTTTTTTTCCCCTTATTAGTTTATTTAAAAATAACATGTACAAACAAATCATTTAAATCTCAAAAAAAAATGCCCAAAAAAAATTTTAAAAACACACACAATACTTTGAAAAATAAAACATTAAAACCACGGGTACAAATCAAAAAGGGAAAAATTCACTTTTAAAAATGAAAAAAATAACTTTCAAAATAAAACAAAAAAAAATTTTTAATATAAATTAGATAAATTTAAGGAAATTTAAATTAAATAAAAAAATTTAAGGTTAAATTTTCCCATCTTTAAGGGTATAAACTTTTAAACTTTAAAATTTTGTAAAAACCAAACCCGAAAAATTTAAAAAATTAAAAATTTTATCTGTTTATTTAAAAATAATCACAAGGGGCCAAAATTTCTGTAAAAAATGCTCAAAAAATAAAAATGTAAAAAATACAGTGATATCCCCTTTTTTGGGGGCAAATAAAAAAAAGGCTTTTTTTTTTTGTTGAAAAAGGGAAAAAAATTTACAAAATAAAAACATAGGAATCATATATTTAACAGTATAAATAATGGTATGATAAATGTTCTGATTTAAATGAATAAAAGAGTTTTTTTACCTTCAGTTCTTTAGATATGAATATTAAAATTATTCACTGTAAACATTATCATGATTATCATGATATTAAATTTTGTTTTGGGAAAAAATAAGAAGTCAAGGAAAGACAGTTTTTAACAACATCAATTTATGTATTAAGCAAAAAGTGTTTGTTTTTTCTCTTGTTTTTTTTATCAAAAACAATATTTTGATCAATATATCAGTATTTGAAATATTAAAAATTAGTACCCAGAAATAAATAGTTCTAAAAAAAAAAAACACTGAAATGAAAATTCACGGCAATCTCATTTAAAAACCTTCTGAACTTTAGAAAGCAATTTTCATTAACACACGACTTTAAATTTTAAACCTTTTCCCCATGGAAGCCAAAAATTTGTTTTTTTGGGGGTTTTAAAGGCCCTTTTTTTTTAAAATTTTTTCATTGGGAAAAGGGCCCCCCGTTTTCAATTCCAACTGCTATAAAATATAAAAAAAGCCCTTTAATTACTGATGAAATTTGGGACATATTTGAGAATCATTAAACCCCTCTAACAACAAAGCTCAAACTTAAATTTCCCTTTTCCCAAAGGCAACAGGGGGGTGTCTTAAAAAATTTCGAAAAATCACTATTTTGCATTGGTTTTTTTTTTTCCCCAAAAAAAAATTTTTTTTTCAAAATTGCTGCAACTTCCCCAAATGGCCCAATTTAATAGAGTAAAAACCTTTTTAGCGTTGGTTTTTCACATACCCTTAAAAACGGGCCTGAGAAAATTTTAGCCCTTTACATTTTCCAAAAATTTTTTTTTGCGGGTTTAGGGGGCTACTGCCCCCTTTAAATCCCCCAAACCCGAAAGGGGGGACACCCCCCTTTTTGCCCAACCCCCTGAAAGTATTTTTTTGATGGGGGGACACAACCCGAAAAAATGGTCACTTTTTTTAACCAAAATTTTTCAAACCCAAAAAAACAGGTTCGGGGGCCCACATTGTAAATAGGGCATTTTTTCAAATGTTTGAGGCCTTAAAAAGGGGGGGGGGGCAAAAAGCCGCCAAAACACGTCTATATAAGGGAAAAGGTTTACATTTTTACCGTTAAAGTCTTAAATTTAATATAACAGAATAAATAATAAAATATATTTTATGGTCTAAACCAACTTGAAATAAAGTTCCTTTCATTTTGCAATGAAATTTTTGAAGAAAAAAGTGTAAAAATATCTTCACTTTTGTTTATGTTGTTTTTTTCACATCTTTATATTACAGTGACATAGTATCCAATAAAATCCCCAATTTTTCAAAATTTTTTTTACACTTGGTCTTCTTTTTCTTCTTTTTTCCTAGCAAGGCAGCACGTGTGGCTTCTTCAAATCCCTCTCGTACTCCTCATTTGTCCTTGCGGAACATTCCAGATAACTAAAAAGCTCCTATACGTGCAGCCATGGCACGACCACTTCTACTTTCACTACTTCTTGTTTAGTTTTTGCCAGTTCAAGTTTTGTTGCTTCATCAGGTTTCTTAAATCTTTTTGGTTCCAAACTAAGACAATGGGAACATTTGGACAGAAATTTGTTAACTTCTGGTGCCCATTTTTCCGATATATTCTCCAAACTGTCAACATTATCTACTGAAAAAGACATTAAGAAATAACATCTGTTTCAGGATATGAAAGGGGGACGTAGTCGATCGTATTTCATCTTGACCAGAAAGTGTCCCCAAAATTTACCATTTCAACCTCTTTTTCCGTCTACAACAATATCTGCCTAATAATTTTCAAATACTGTTGGTATGTAAACTTCGGGGAATTCATCTTTACTGAACACAAAAAGTAGGCATGTCTTGCCACATGCTCCGTCTCCAACAATCACTAACTTTTTCCGAATGTAAGTCATACTTCCAATATTTTTATCCAAAATCAATTCAAGCAGGTAAATACAACCAAGTGTGTTTTCTTCAGTAATATGTATGTAACTATGTTTATCATTATTATGATACCCTTCTTTATAGCTTTGTTTGTTTGTGTTTGGTTTGTTTACCCTCGCCACCGGAATGAACCATATGGGCGAGCACATACTTCATTTAAAACTTGCTTAATTTATATGGGAACTAATTTAATTTGTCTACAGTTTTATCGGTACATGTGTTTACGTGTGTGCCATAATTCCTACCACATGTTCGTATAAAAGTACGTAACCCATGATAGGAATAAGATGGGATTGCTCCCATACTAAGTTAAAATGACGTGTATTTAAAAAAAAATTGAACAGCTTATTTAAATTACCTAAGGTTAAAATGGCCGAGACGTTTATAAAAGCACCGTCTCTTATAACAGGTCAACTATTAAATTATTCCATGATTTTAAAAAGATAGAGAGAAATTTTTGTTAAAGCAATGTCAGGAACGCATTTTCCCAATTCAATGTGGCTAGTCATTTAAAGGCCTGATTTGATCAGATACATACACAAAGGAGTGTCAGAATATTAAAAAACAAGTTTGTTTTAGTGTGGAAAAATTTAGAATTTAATAATTTTCTAGTATATTTCACCCGAACACCTGCTTAGTTAAAGATGTTCTTATTGGTCTAAAAGTGATTGCCTCCTTTGTTCTCATTTGGTCGAAATTTCTTTGTTTTCAAAATAAGGAGGTCAATCCGATTTTGTGATATTTTGCAAATTTTCTTAATTTTCGGATTGCCCATATCGACAATTTTGTCGCGCGAACGGGATAGAATTTAGCAGGTCCCCCTTTCACTCCTTTGTATAGTATCTGTACAACAAATTAATAAATAGAATAAAACAACAAAAAACTTGTAAAATAGCAATTGTTTTAAATAAAAGGGTCTAATCTAACTTAAAAAATTCCCAAAATATGGCTATTAAGTAATTATTTGTTACCCTTAATTGATGAAGTGACCTTTTTTAACAAATATAAGGCCAATTCATACTTGAGTGTATGCGTATAACTTATGCTCCATATGGGGGAACACATACACTTTTATGTTTTATATACAGGACAAAGAGAAGAAGTAAAAATAAACACAGGGCAGGGGAATAAGGATATTTACACTATATGGAGTCTTTTAACATTAAGGGTAACGGTAGCATTCCTTCCCAATTTTGTTCGACCACTTGATTTACATTTTAACTATTTACCATGTTCTATAAATAGATTTGCAATCCTGATCTAAAAATAGCTACAATCATTCATTGGTCAATAGATAATGCTAAAATTAAAAAATATATACACCTTTCTAAAAAATTTACCTATTTATCTTATCTGTTTTAAAAAATGACAAAATTGAAATACTAGTAATAATGCATGACTTCAAACTAATTTAAGATCTGATAGAAAATAAAATTTTGTATATTTTCACCAGTGGCAGTGGAAACTCAGTCTAAATTTGCCACTTGAAATTAAACATAATATTCATTGCTTAATTAGTGTGTTCTTACTTAAAATTTTACTTTTCAAGTTTAAACAGCGACAAATAAATTTGAATGCCTTGGATAGTACCCCCGCAAAATGCGTAAATTTAAAAGGTGTTGCACAACATTCTAAATATAGTCATAGATTAATCAACCTGTTCCCTCCTAGTTTGGTTTAGTTTTTTTACATCAAACCTGATTATAGAATACAAAATGGGATCAACGCTCCCAAAGATGTAATGGAAGCTTGAGAATTTTTATTGTTTTTTCCAAATAAGCAGTTATTTAGGGGAATAGGGTCTCCAGCCCTCCAATATTCATTTTTGCCATTCCCATCACTAAACGACTTCCTGCAGCCATGTTTACTTTCGATTTGTTTTGATCTCGTCGAATTCTCGGGAAGATGAAATTTTAAAAAAAATTTCATTTTTTTTATAACTGAAAACACAAGACGATTTCATGATATTTGTAATTAATTTAATTTGAGAATGTTTTTGGGGAATAATTTTTGATCGGTAAATGCCAAATAAATAGCTTAGGTGAAATTTACCCATGATGCACCAGCATTCTTGTTGTGGAAAGGGAAACTTTTTGACCAAGATCAATAAAATGTTTTGGAATTAATTGCTTTTAAAGCAGTAAAGCTGTCTAACATAATAAAATTGACAAACAGCACATCAAAGACATAATTAATTTAAATAATGGTATGTATTATTTCACGGTAACATTCTTAGAAAGCAAGCAATTCTCTTTTAAATTTTTTTCATTATTCCAAATCAATGTAAAAATAGGTGGGTGGGGTAAGTGTTAGACACCAAAGCCTATCGACCTTTTCGAAAACCTAGCTAAACACCGTTTTCCGGTACGTTACGGATTTAGCTCTGGGGAATTACACCAAATGAAGTACATAACACAGTTACATGATTTCTCTATTTTTCTATCTATCTCTGGATACTGCCAACCCCTCTTACGAGTGTTAAAGGCAGGAATTTAGTGCACGTCGGATTGTTAGTAAAAGGTGAAAAGAAAAACTAAAAAAGAAAAGTCCAAACATTGACATGCTTGGAAGGTGAGACTGAAGATGTATTCTAGTCATCAATATCTTTTGCAAATTTTTCAAAATATAAATTGTTTATAATGAAAATTAATAAAATTAAAACAAAAGTAGTGGAATCTTCCATTATAAATAAGGTTATTTTCTGCGTAAACTTGTGTTTTTACTTTATTTTTTTGTATTGAATTATTCATACAATGATATTTAATTATTTTCTTATAAAGAAATAACTATTTTATTTCAATTAAATTTAAAAAAAGGCCGCAAACGTTGAGTTCGCTAATATGAAAAAGGATAAGCCTCAAAGCGAGCTCGATGAACTTTTAACGTGAAATAGTATGAAATAATCGCTCATTTCTATTTCAAATGCAGTGACGAGTGCGTGTGATGTCACACATACTGTGTTAAATATGGCTCCGCCCCCTGTCGTTTTGAAAAGTTGTATAAAACTTTGTTTGTTTATTTTATTTCGCTCTATTAAAATTTTCAAAGCGAAAATAAAGATTATTTAAAAGTGAAATAAATGTAAAAACTTAAAAAACGTGTAGACATTAAAATAGCGTATTTAATTTGATTGTTTTTGCACGTGCTGTTTGCGCTACATTGTGACGTACGTAAACAATACTTTAAAAGTCTGTACAGCGTTAACAACTGAATAAAATATATTGGTGTAACTGTTCGGATTCATTTTCTTAGTTAGACCATTTTTCTTTCAATTCTAGATAGTTTTCACAACAAAATTTCCGACAAAAAAATTGTTTTTTTATTTATCAGATTTTCAAACAAATGGCAGCCTTCCATTTTTCATTTTACATTTCCGTTTTAAAACTGTCCATTCAATATTTTATACACGCTTCCGTTATTCTTGGTTCCCTGTCAATTATGGTTCCCATAGACGTGCGCGGGTGACCAGTCTACACATCCGTTTTCAGTCCAGAAATTCCTCAGTTTTTATCGTTATCTTTAAATTCGAAAAAGTTTGCCGATGTGTCCAATTCGGTACTTCGGACGAAAGTTTTCAAAACCATCACTTAGCAGGTACTCCGCGTTACAATAAAGCTCGCGTTTGCGAGCAGGCCCTTCGGGCCAGCTCGTCGAGCTCCACTATTAAAACTCCTAGGTGTTTATTCCCCAGAGCTATGTACAGAAAGTACCCGGAAAAAAACGGCGTTTAGCTAGGTTTTTCGAATTCGTGAATATTTTGTATACTACATATACGAAAGAGTCTAATATATATAGATATGCTTTAGGGGAATTAGGACCCCAGGGTCCTTATCCAGGATATAGCTAATGTTAAAACCTGAAAATCCTCAGGTGGTGACCAGGTATTGAACTCAGGTGCTCTCAATTATAAGGCAAGACACTAACCCTCTAAGATTTTTGAATTTACTAGCCCGAATTCCAGTTTTTTGAAAATTCCAGTTTTTAATTTTATTCTACCTCTATAATATTATATTTACTAAATTTTCCTAGAAAAAATTTTCACTGGGCCAAAATTAATTTTCACTGGCCGTGGGCCACCGGGCCAGTGGCTAATTCTAATGACTGAATATGAACTATTATGAAGAGTCAAATAGGTCACTGTTAACTTAGTTTAAGAAATTTCACAAGAACTAGGATGGGTTGTTGGGTCAAATGAACATCCTGTCATCTTCTCTATGTGTTTACTATTTAAATTAATTTTGGCTAGAATTTCAGGGTGTTCTTTTGACCCATGTCCTGGGTTCTGACCCATACATAAAATCAGCTGTTGTATCAATTTTATGATTTAAAATTTTGAACCATCATAATTTCTGATGGATGCATTGAAACTGTACTGTTTTTGTCAATCAATAAGTGCCGACGTTAAAGAATTTCGCATTAACAAATGAGCAATAAATTGAATAATGTGCCTTCAGGTACAATAGGGCTAAGGCGTGATGAATTATCCACATTAAAGCGGTTTGAGCCAATCACTGATAAGTACACTCGCGGACGCTGGTTTGCATCTGATAGCGAGAATTAAAACGCTAATCAATATATATATGGCATATAATGTGTACATAATAATTTTCAATAATTTAGTAAACAATAGTAATTATGTACCCGTGCCAATTTGTCAAATTTTCGTATGAAGTACCACTGGGGTAATTGTAATTTCAATGGTTAGATTTAAGCATTTTTTGCAGACTGATTGACGTCTTTCTTTTAGTATCGTAAGTTTGTAACATCTTTTGATTTTCCACTACTTAAAACAGAAAACAATGTTTTTGTTCAGAATATTATGGAACTGTGTTGGTAATTTTCATTGTTAAAAATTCTTGTTCAAGATTCTCAGCATATTTGAAATGTCCATTTAGCATTTACGTCGCAGAATTTGAACATTGAATACTGTATGAGTTACTCATCATAACTTGAAAACTGAAGTTGATCCAAGTTGATAATGACAGTGAAATATTCAAGGGTATTCTGTTACATCCTTATATACATCTGCCACAACTCTTTGGTACATACTGAATAGTAATTAATGCTAATTACTTTTTGTAGTGAATGTATCTGTACGGGTACTGAAATAATATGGGTATTTTTCTTTTTTCAGGATCTTGAACACTGATTTAATTTAAACAAGTTTGATACATATCAGTAACCATGGCAACTCAGGAAGCCATTCACAAACGTAACCTTGAGAGTTCCATACTGTTTATGCAGCAGGAACATGCAGCCACCTTGAAAGCACTTCATGAGGAAATAAAAAAATTACAGAAAAAATGCTCAGGTAAAATAAGAACTGTTTTTTATTTATAATAATGTGAAATGAGGATTTATTATGCCCCCATTTCGAAGAAAAGGGGGTATATTGCTTTGCACTTGTCGGTCCGTCGGTCCGTAGACCAAATGGTTTCCGAGTGATAACTAAAGAACCCTTAGGCCTAGGAACTTCAAACTTGGTATGGTGATTGGTCATGAGCAGTAGATGACCCCTATTGATTTTGGGGTCAAGGGGTCAAAGGTCAAGGTCACATTGACCTTGTAAGCAAAAACGGTTTCCAATCAATAACTAAAGAACCATAAGGCCTAGGAACTTCAAACTTGGTATGGTGATTGGTCATGATCAGTAGATGACCCCTATTGATTTTGGGGTCAAGGGGTCAAAGGTCAAGGTCACATTGACCTTGAAAGCAAAAACGGTTTCCGATCAATAACTAAAGAACTTTAAGGCTTAGGAACTTCAAACTTGGTATGGTGATTGATCATGATCAGTAGATGACCCTTATTGATTTTGGGGTCAAGGGGTCAAAGGTCAAGGTCACATTGACCTCTTGGGTAAAAACGGTTTCTGATCAATAACGAAAGAACCCTAAGGCATAGGAACTTCAAACTTGGTATGGTGATTGGTCATGACCAGCAGATGACCTCTAACGATTTTGGGGTTAAGGGGTCAAAGGTCAAGGTCACATTGATCTTGAAGGTAAAAACTGTTTCCGATCAATAACGAAAGAACCCTTAGGCCTAGGGATTTCAAACTTGATATGGTGATTGGTCATGATCAGTAGATGACCCCTATTGATTTTGGGGTTAAGGGGTTTAAGGTCAAGGTCACATTGATCTTGTAGGTAAAAACTGTTTCCGATCAATAACGAAAGAACCCTTAGGCCTAGGGATTTCAAACCTGATATGGTGATTGGTCATGATCAGTAGATGACCCCTATTGATTTTGGGGTAAAGGGGTCAAAGGTCAAGGTCACATTGACCTCTTGGGTAAAAACAATTTCTGATCAATAACGAAAGAACCCTAAGGCATAGGAACTTCAGACTTGGTATGGTGATTGGTCATGACTAGCAGATGACCTCTATTGATTTTGGGGTTAAGGGGTCAAAGGTCAAGGTCACATTGATCTTGTAGGTAAAAACTGTTTCCGATCAATAACTAAAGAACCCTTAGGCCTAGGAACTTCAAACTTGGTATGGTGATTGGTCATGACCAGCAGATGACCCCTATTGATTTTGGGGTGAAGGGGTCAATGGTCAAGGTCACATTGACCTTGTAGGTAAAAATGCTTTCCAATCAATAACTTAAGAACCCTGAGGCCTAGGAACTTCAAACTTGGTATGGTGATTGGTCATGACCAGCAGATGACCTATTGATTTTGGGGTCAAGGGGTCAAAGGTCAAGGTCACATTGACCTTGTAGGTAAAAACGGTTTCCGATTAATTTACTAAAAAAGCTTAGGCCTAGGAACTTCAAACTTTGTATGATAATTGGTCGTGACCACACATGACCCCTATTGAGTTTTGGGTCAGAGGGTCAAAGGTCAAGGTCACATTGACCTTGTAAGTAAAAACGGTTTCTGATCAATAACTTAAGAACGCTTAGGCCTAGGAACTTCAAACTTGGCATGGTGATTGGTCATGACCAGCAGATGACCTATTGATTTTGGGGTCAAGGGGTCAAAGGTCAAGGTCACATTGACCTTGAAGGTAAAAACGGTTTCCGATCAATTAATTAAAAACGCTTAGGCCTAGGAACTTCAAACTTTGTATGATGATTGGTCGTGACCAGCAGATGACCCCTATTGAGTTTTGGTCAAGGGGTCAAAGGTTAAGGTCATGACCAGTAGATACTTGATAACCCTTATTAATTGTTTGATCACTGGGTCAGAAGTCATGCATAATAACCTTATCACATGACTAATTGGCTGCTGATAGGGGGCATACATGTTTTACAAACATATCTTGTTTCATTCTTGAGTCTAAAATTTCTGTTAGTGTTACATGTAGTTGGTTAAAATAGACGGAAAAAATTATACTTGTGATATATTATCACTGCTGACGAATAGAAAGTAGTATACTAAAATGTAGACTTGTCTGTTCTGTTTTCAAGCCATATTTTACAATTGCTTGGTTGGATTGTACTATGAATAAATATAATAGTAAGGAAATGATGCTCATCAACTTAATACTATAAAAGTCTTGTTATGCCCTGTTGAAAAGCACATTATAAGTACAAACTGAAACATGAAATTACTTTTCTTTCATATTCTGAACTATACGAATTAAAAAGCTTCAATCAAGTGACTCAATGTATCATGTGGCATGTTATTAAACAGTGGCAAAAATGTGTCAAAAGAAAAGGGGGCTTGAAAAGGGCTTAGCCCTTCCATCAGAGCCCAGAATTACCCTACAGGTATATCAACTCAACAACTTTGTTTGATATTAAAATTGCTTGTAACTTTCTTACTACCATATATATATTTTGTAGATTTGACATTTGAGTTGAATATGGCTGGACTGGATACAGGAGATGGAGGTGAGCATTTGAGTTGCTTGATACATTTTACTCCCTTGTTTTGATGCAAATACACTTTACTCCATTTTTATGTTAATAAATTTTACTCCCTTTTTAATATCTTTATGAAAAACTTTTGTAGAAATAGCATTCACTGTGTTTAATGGAGGTCAAAATATTGAATTTTCACTGATTATTGCTATTATTGGCTGGGACGTCACTTGGTAATTAATAATTGGATTATCTTCATACTGGGACAAAACAACCTTTCGGACAAGACCTTTAAAAGGTTGACCAGACCTGGACCTTAAGCTTTAAATGACCTTGACCATCAAGGTCAATTTATTGAATTTGGTTAAGTTGTCATACTTTTGATATTTATGTACAGATTTACAAAAAAACAAAACACTAGTGACCAAACAGACATTTTGAATAATTTAAAATATGATTTTGACAAATCAATGACATTGACCATCAAGGTCAGATTATTGAATTTTGCTTATATTTTCTTAACTGTCATTTATTTATGGAAATGTTTCAAACTTGGACAAAACATGGGTGACTAGACAGACCTATTGAAATAAAAATAGGAAAACAGTAAACTGTACATATGTATGCTTTTAGAAAAAGTAGAGAAAGTTGAGAGTTGCTGTTTCATTTATACTCACCTGATTAAAATTTCAGTTTCTGCAGAGGTTGTGGAGCATATAAAACATCTTGAGAAAATGATCGATGCACAAAGAGAAACACAACATGAACTTGAAGTAGAGCTGGAGAAAAAAGATAAGCTAATTAAAGAAAATGAATATACATATAAAAGACAGAAAATGAAACATATGGAAGAGTTACGATCTCGAAATAAAGAAATGGATGAATTACGAGCTCAACTTGATGCTGCTGCTAATAGTAACGCTTATTATCAAAATGAACTGCTGAAAGTTAAGAAGGAAAAGTTTCATGGTAATCAAGGTTCCGCACATTCACATGAACATGTTCGTGCTCCCGCACCGCCGAAAGAAAGCAGGTCAAATCCAAAACGTGCTTTCCATATTCGTAGAACATTAGCTGAAAAAGAGGAAATAGCAGAACTTAATCATTTGACTGGTACTGCAGTAGCAGTGCGTGGTAATTCAGGCGGAACAAGTAGGTCAGATTCTCCAGCGGAATTAGCAAAGCCATTCTTGCGATCTGAGGACGCGGAAATACAAATCAAGACGAGCAACCCTCTTCCTCCAATCAGAACATCTTCTGGGCGTGTCCTGTTTAGGGAGCCAGTAGATGTTGTACATGTAAGTGTTCACAATGTCCCTAAGCCACCAACAAAAAGTAAAAAGGCTGGCACTGCAACACAGGAAGTAGAGACCCTGGCTATCGGTCCCGTGTCTCAAACAGATCCCACATGGAAACATCATCGTACGAAAGAATCTCACAGTTCAGACTATAGGTAGCCCATATCTTAATTGTATCAATAAAATGAACAATTTATCACAAACATTTTTGTATGCGTTTTATTTGTTTTGTTTGTTTAATTTTACCATTGGATTATTCTTACCCAAATTTTTTGTTTAAATTTTTGTTTTAAAGTTTTTATTTACATTTTTTTCCCAGGTGTAAATAATAGTATATCATGTGGATAAGCAGTTTTTAACTTGTAAAATTTAATAAATATTTCGCAGGTAATTTTTTGCAAGACTTTGACCATTGTCTCTAAATTTGGTTTTTACTTTTTAATTTGTAAATATGCAGTTGAATTGTGATATTTTAGATATACAAGTAGTATTGAAATAATTGTTTTAATGTGAATTGATGGATTTAAAAATGTTACATAAAATATATTTTGGTTTCACTTTGTTAAGATTGACAATCTGCTAATGATGTTAATTTAACTCTTGTTTTGATATTGACACTTATTAAGAATAATTGATGTTTTTGTTGAAATATCAGGTCTTTTGTAGTAGATATACAGAGAATTACATTGTTAAATAATTACTGTAACATAAACACTAGTAAATAACTAAGATAATAATTACTTTGTTATACCCCAATATCTTCTTTTATCATTGCAATGCAAGAATTGGCACTATTTTTTTTTCTCTCCTAAAAGGCATTTATATATATATATATATATATATATATATATATATATATATATATATAATATA